CGGTCGACGAATACCACGACGATCGTGTTGCCCGCCGAATCTTTCGGCAGGCCAAACACAAAGTCCAAACTCGTAGACTACCTGCACCAAGTGGGTACTGGTAAGCTGGCCAGCGGGGCAGGCATTTGGAGCGGGTTTCACCCGTTGACACGTCTCACACGTGCGCACATAGGTGCTCATCCATTAGTACAACTGGGGCCACCAATAGTGGTGACTCACAGCGTTGTACGTTTTCTCACGACCGAGATGACCACTGATTGGCGTGTCGTGAGCCTCATAAAAGATGCGGTATTTCAAATCCTCATCAAGAGAAAACACAATTCGTGATGTATCCGTTAAATCGGTGCTATAATATAGCAAACTGTTACTCAACGAATATCGGTGAAATCGTGCACGCAATCTTGACGACAATTTCCTGTCCGAATTTCCAAACTCCCTGCCTTTTAGAACCCGTAGCAACGCTACACACATCCCATCGCCCGCATACGCGGTGCGGTTCGAATCTGTCACAGAAGACATTACAGTTGTAACATGAGCAAGCTCATAGTCTGGTCTGCGTGACACCGCATCAGTTGAAGCATTCTGCTTCCCCGGCTTATACTTCACCTCGAAGTTATATTCCGCAGAGAAGAATGGCCATCTAGCCATCCTCGGCGAGAGGTGGGGCTCCTGAGTCGCAGTGCGTAATGACGCATAATTTGTGTCGATCACAATCGGCTTGGAGCCGAGCAGATGGACCTGAACTTGACAAGTGCATACTTCATCGCAAGTAGTTCCTTGTCATGAACTGGGTAGTTTTTCTCTGCAGCTTTGCGCTGTCGAGATTCGACTGCGATCACCCGATCGCGCCCCTCGGCGTCTGCTTATAACAGTGCACAACCGATGGCAAAGTTTAAATCGTCACAGACGACGCTGAAAGGACGATCGGGATCCGGCAGTGTCAGTATTGATGCATACAGGAGGCTGTCTTTGACAAAAGCCTCCTGATATTCGGTGTTTCAATACCATTCCGCATCCTTTTTAATGAGGTTGGATATTGGCCGGGCCATTTCGGCGTAGTTTACGCTGTACTTGTGCAAGCAATTGGCAAGACCAAGCCACTTACGCAAGTCTTTTTGGTTCTTTGGAACCGGCCAATC